TTTAGAACTGGATGTTCTGTAGGCATATCAAATGCAACTGTCTAAAACAGAAGTCATGAACCTAACCCCCAAAAAAACCCCTCACTTCTGCCCGACTTTCCTCTTACTGTGGAGGATATCATGGATAGTCACCAGACCCACAATCTCAGTGCCATTCTCAACTCCTCACTCTCACTCATCTTACATAACCAGCCTGTTGCCAAATCATCCTTGAAAATATCCCTTTATCTCTCTGCTTACAGCATCCTCACCCTTATACAAGCTCTCATTACTTGTACCAGCTTCTACTAATGTAAATCTTCCAACTGGGCACCCTGCCTCAAGTCTTTCTTCACACTAATCCATCCTCTACTTAGCTGCTGAGGTGATTCACCCACTGCTCACTGAGCTCCAATGACTCCCTATTACTTTCAAGATTAAATATAAAATCCTCTCTTTAGCATTCAAAGGTCTTTTTCATCTGGTCCCTTCCAACCTTTCTAGCCTTCTTATTCTTTGGTTCAATGTAACTGTGTATTTGAGAGAGTAGAGATCCACTCAAATTCAGTTACATTGACCTATTTTCAGTTCCTAGACCCAAAACTCCATCTCCCATTTCTATTTATTTGCACTCACTGGCCAGTCCGATGCTTGGAATATTCTGTCACCTCATCTGTGTCCTGGTTTCCTTTAAGAATCGATTTAAACTCCAACATTTTCATGAGGTCTTTCCTCATTCCTTCAGCTTGTAGAGTCCTCCCCACTTAGATTATTTTTCATCTACATTGTACTGTGTATAATTAGCTATTTGAATATTGTCTCTCCCATTAGAATGTGAGTTTCTTGATGTCAGGGACTTTGAACCTTTCTTTGTATCCCCACTGGCATAAAGGAAGGGCTTAATAAATCCTTATTTATGACTGGCAAGAATTTTTAAGCCATGGGTATATAAAGATATGAATGAAGCAATCTGTGTGTATTTCAGGCAGTGCCCCACATTTTATCTACTGGGTTACAGATATTTTATTTTAATAAACATTTGTTAAGCATGCACAAATAAGAGAAAGTCCTCAAGGAGATCATGTTATGCTGGGGAGCTATTACATGTAAACTGATAAATAAAACAATTCTACTGGGAAGACATGATGTGCAGAAATATGAGTAAATGTAAGGTAATTTGAGTAAGCAGTGATCTAAGGTGGTGGAAGGAATTTTCAAGCATTGTATGAGGTACGGGGACATAAAGACAACAGATAAATTCTTGCCCTCCAGGAGCTTATTTTTCTTTCAGGTAGGCAGTGGGGTTAAGTCACTTCCCCAGGGTCACACAGCTAGTGAGTGTCAAGTGTCTGAATCCAGATTTGAACTCAGGTCCTTCTGACTCCAGGACCAGTGCTCTATATACTGTGCCACCTAGCTGCCCTGTGGAGCTTATTTTTTTTTTATCAATATTAAACAACATGAAAGTCTAGAAATTATATACATATATGTAATGTATGAATATACACACATGCATATATATACTCATATGTATGTATAATTATATGTAGTAATATAGTACATTTATACATAAATATGCATATACATGCACATACACATATAGAAAGAATATATGCACATTATATATCCATATTTTACATAAATATGCAAATATATAAATATTTGAAGAGAGAGGGGAAAGCAGTTAATTGGGGGCATAGAGAATCAAGAAAAGTTTCATAAAGGAGGTGGAATTTGATCTGGCCTTTGAAGGAAGCTAGGGAGTCTAAGAGGCATTCCAGACATATAAGCAAACTATCACAGAGGCATAGAATTGGAATATAGAAAGTTATATGTAAGGAAAAGAAAAGTCAATCTGGCTCAACCATATACCATGTAAAGGAGAATAATAGGTAATAACGTTGTAAAACTAAGTTGGAACCAGGCTTTGAATGGCAAAAAAAAAAAGTAGTTGGCATTTATTCTTGCAGGTAATAGGGAACCACTGGAGCTTACAGAGCAATGGTATAAGAGATCTAAATCTGTGCTCTAGGAATGTGACCCCTGTCTTAAGGCCCATCGGCATGTGACTCTCCCTTTATTGTTAGAGATGAAGGCTCTCTCCTATGTGACGGGTGGGTGGAATTAGTGAGAGGTGAGAACTTCAGGCAGTGAGAGTCCTTCTTTGCATCTTTCCAAGCAAGAGTCTTCTTTACATAGTATTTAGTTGTCTTTTAGCTTCAAGAGAGAAGATAGAAGAGGGCAATGGCACCTTAGGTTGCTGAAAGAAAAGACTCTTGGAAGAAGAGCTGGCCATCTCCACCATATTCCTACTCTCAGCTTGTTACAGTAGAGATTTTGAGGATTTTCCTCTTGGGTGAGATCCAGGACTCTCTCTCTCTTGGTTCATTGAGTTACCTTGCTCCTATTGGGAGAGCTCCTTCACTCTGTATATTCTATTATATATATTCTCCTCTGTATACCTTCTCTGATTTCTCTTTTGCGACAATTTGGATAAATGGGCTTCTTTGCTACTCTTTATGTGTCCCTTATGGAGCTATCATTAGGTGTCAAAGGAACTGAACTTTGGACATAGAGATTAGGGTCCTCCTTCACCCCAAAATAACAAAGTTATCAAAAGTTAGCACAAACCCAATCACATTCCCTAGCTTTGTTTGTTTGCTTGCTTGCTTGCTTTTTTGGCTAGGCAATGGGGTTAAGTGACTTGCCCAGGGTCACATAGCTAGTGTTATGTGTCTGAAGCCGGATTTGATCTCAGGTCCTCCTGACTCATGGGCTGGTGCTCTATCCACTGTGCCACCTAGCTGCCCCACCCTAGCTTAATTTGCAAAGCAACAGATAGATATACGTCTAGCCTAGTACCCTGAGGAAAGGGTACTCTGAGGAAAGCAGAATGGTGGCCTCAGGTCCCAATCTCCTTCTTCCCTTCTAAGCAGGGACAAAAAACTCCCTAGGGGAACTGTTGGAAGATGTCTATTCTGCCTCTCTTCAAGCTACACATACAACAGCAGCTCTTGCAATGTGTGGAACCTCACTACACACACAGAGAACACTATTTCATTCTTTTTCTGTACCAGACTATTCACTTGGCAACCATATGGAGGGTGAATTGAACAGAAGAGAGTTTGAGGACAAAGAGACTAATTAGGGAGCTATTTCAATAGCCTTAGATCAAGGACAGTTTAATGGTTTAGGATTCATGAACTCCCAATGGAACTGTGGATAGATTTCAGGAGAATCCCATAAACTTGGATGAGGAAAAAATCCATTCTTCTTTTCAATAACTTCCAACAGCAATTCAACATTTGCTTCAATTATTTAAGTACATTATTACTAGAAGGGGTCCATTGGTTTTGCTAGTTAGCCAAAGGTGTCCAGGACACAAACATTATTGAGAACCCCTTCCCCAGATGATAAATAATAAGGGCCCAAATAGGGTGGGGGCTCTATGTGGGTGGTGATAAGGGGATGGTTACTGAGATGTTGATAGATCAAACACACAAGATCAGCAGCAGATAAGATATGAGGCCTAAGAATGAGAAGTTAAGGATGATACTGAGGTTGCAGGGCTGGGTGTCTAAAAGAATAATTATGTCCTCAACAGGAATAGGGAAGTTAGGGGAAAGTGTTAAAAGGTAAAGATAGTGACTTCTATTTTGGACGTATGAGTTTGGGATGGCTACAGGTTATCCAGTTCAAAATGTCCAATAAACCATTGGTAATTCAGCATTGAGGCTCAGGAGAGAGACAGAAGCTAGGTGCACAGAGATAATTAAATCCATGGGAGCTTGTTAGGTCACTGAGAAAGATTACAGAGAAGAAAGATAAGACAGAGCCTTGGAGGTACACTAACAATTAGGTGAGAGACCATGAAGATCTAATATTTATTTAAATGGCACTTTAAGGTCAGCAAAGCACTTTGCAAATATCTCATTTGATTCTCAAAGCAATTGTAGAAGGTAAGTGCTATTATTTTTATCAACTTTATAAATGAAGGGACTGAGGCAGAAAGAGCTTGAGTGACTTGCCCAGGGTCACATAGTTAACAAATGACTAAGGCTGGATCTGAAATCAGGTCTTCCAGGCTCTAGCTCCCATGATCTATCCATTGTACCAGCCAGACCAACGAATAATAATATGGCAAAGGAGTCTGAGAAGGAGCAAGTTGATAAATTTGAGGAGAATGAAGAGATACCAGTATCGCCAAAACTCATACTGAAGAATCTCTGAGAAGAGAGTGGGAGGAAGTAGTCAACTGTGTCAAATGCTACATGAAGGTCAATAATACATGTTAAACATGTGGCAAGTCTTAAACGATTCTATCAATGCTCTCTATTATTACTATTGTTAGCATTGAGAAAAGGACATTTGATTTATCAGTTAAGAGGTCATTACAAAATTTGGGGAGAATGATTTCAGTTGAGAAATAAAATGAGGAGCTAGATTTTGAAGGGCTGACAAGATAATGAGAGGAAAGGATGGTGGAGAGAATGTCAACCAAGTCTGTTCTAGGAATCTGGCATGCTAATGCCAGAGAATGGAAAGGTCCAATGAAAGATTTTTATGGATTTGGAAAACCTGAGTGTGTTTGCAAGCATGACAGAAGGACAAGCAGATGCAATGAAATTGAAGAGTATAGTTATGGGAATAGGGATGATTATGAAGAGTATCTATTGGAGAAGACATGATGGGATGAGATGACAGATACAAGTCAAGGCTTTGGCCTTGACAAGGAGAGTGGCCACTTCTTTTCCAGATTGGATCTTAAGATCATTCACTTAGAGTTGTAAGGTCCTTAGAGGCTGTCTATTCCAATCCCCTTGCTTTACAGATGGGGCACCTGAGACCCACAAAAGTGCAAGGAAGGAACAGGAACCAGGTCTCCTGGAATCCAAGGTTTCCACTCAGCCAGAGTAAAGCAATAGAGAGCAAAGAATGATGTTAAGAAACTCTCAGATGTTGAGTTGGAGAAAAGAGAGAGCTGCAGAAAAATAGCTTCTATTTTTCTTTTTCTCATAAAGTGTGATGTAAGTTCCTCTGCTGAGAAAGTGATGAGATGTGTGATGAGAAATACTTGGAAGAGAAGAAAAGATTTAGAACAACCACTGTGGGCAGTATAATCAATTAGAAGAGAGCAAAATGATTGCCTTCCTCCAATGAAGGCCCAGTGGTGAGTAGATAATATAAATTTTAGTAGACTCAGAGAGCATATGAAATATTCTACAACTTATTCTCCCACTTCTCCAATGAAAATTTGGGAATGCATTTACTCATCTAGCTTCTGAGGCCAAGAGTGGTTAGCATAACTATGCAGTATTCAATTTCTTTCCCATTTACATTTCTGTACTTGTATTTATTGTCTTAAAATCAATTTTAAAAATTAGCCTTGTTTCTATCAGTATCTGCAGACATGTGGGGTGGAGTAGGAGCTATTCCTCCTATCTAACTATGTTGGCCATCTTCATACCCAACAAGTAATGAGTGAGTTTCCATGAAAAGAATACTTTTGGGACCAAGGGAAAACAACACAAGAGGAAAAAAAACATTTTCTGAAGATGTTTTTTCCTCATATTCACCTGGGGGTGAATTCTGTCTTCAGCTACATGCACACATACTTAACCAGAAATCAGTCTTGAAGACATATTTTTTCCCCACATCAATTTCATGAATTATCAGTATTGTCTATTTCTTACATCTGGTTTTCTGCTCACTGCACTTTTCTGCCCCATCCCTTCCCTTCCAGGCCAGTTTAGTTAATGTAGCCAACAGCAAGCACATACTGACCTTTCTCACATCCTATTTGCTTCCCTTGAGGATAGGGGTGAAAAATTGGATTGTGATTGGGGATGTCTATTCAAAGAGATGTGCCTCTCCCTGTGCAATAAACACCAGGCTGGGGGTTTTCTCTGAAGTACAGAGGCACCACTCCAGGCAATTATTTGGAATAATCCTCTCTGGCATGGGAACACTCAAACAAGGTGTTGAATGTCTTAAAATATGCTGAGCTTACATGAGTGCCTGCAGCACCTCGGGGTAAAAATGGAGCCTGATAGGAGAATGAATGATGGAGCCTTTGTGTTTTTCTCAATGTTCAAGCAGGTGTGTTGGCATTTACACATGCCGATGTTATGTAGCATTCAGAGGGAGATAAAACTCTTTGATGATTATACATTTCTACTGTACAAAGAATCCATCACCTCCCTAAGACGGCTGGCTTTTAATTATTGTGTTTTCCTGCTCTTTAACATACCTTTTTCCCCCCAAATGGAAGAAGCAATCTTTTCAAGACTACATTTGCTTTACACTTAATTTTGTACAACATATAGCAAAATCAAAGGGAATTTTATCACAATTTATGATAAAATTATAGCTTAATCTGAAATTTGCAAGAGAAAAAAGATCCAGATCCCCTTTGTAGGAGATCTTGATGTTAATACATTGCTACAAAGTGCTTAGTTTGAAACTCAGAATCAATTTTTCAGGTGGGAGCACCATATAGATCTTTAGGAACATAACTAGGATGAGGTCACTGGACCTTTGGCCAGGGTGAAAAAAATTAGAGGACACTAATACCAATTCCAATCATACAGCAGCATAGGAACAAATGAAACACACCTGGATTCTCCCCCACCTTTAGTGGCTGCCTTCTGGTATACCTTGATTACTCTGAAGGATTTTATTCTCATCTGGATTTGTAATTACATCATTGTAAGGAGCTCCACAGTGAGGAAACTCCCTGAGCCAATGCAGTTCTGCAACTGCCATGCAACTTACAGCCTTAGCACATCAAAATGTTAAGGGATATGCCTAGATCCCATAGCTAATATATGTCAGGAATGTGAATGAAGCTCTGGGCTGTCCTGACTCTGGGGCTGTCTTTCTATATACTCTATGCCACACCACCTTAGTGGAAATACCGTTTAATTAGTGATGACCAAAAAAGCATTCAGCAAAAATTTACCACCCCAAATTACTTTTAAAATAAAGCTTTGCAAAATATGCCTCTACTTCCGAGTGTACATATTATTTTCCCTGACGTAATACAAAACTCGTTGAGGACAAAGACTGTTCCATTTTTCTCTTTGCATCTCCAGTGCCCAGTACAGTACTTGGTTCAGAGCAGGTGCTTAATAATGCTTGTTAACTGATTGGTTGATACAAACTACGTATGTGTTAATGAGGAAGTCAGTTCACATTTCTGAGACTCAGTCATAGATAATTCCAAAGAATTCAACAAATATTTATTAAGCATCTTTTATGTGCAAAGGAACAATAGTAGGCACCAGTAATACAAAGACAAAAGCAAAAGCGTCCTTGACTTCAGGGAACTTATATTCTAACATAAAATGATTTTGGACTAGAAAAATGGTCTCATTTCCTTCTAACACAAAATTTTAATGAAAGCAAGAGAAGTTTAAACTATAATGACTATACTATTTAAGAATTCCGGAACATATTAGTCAATTTTAGAAATATGCCCACAGAAATTATTTTTGAAGCAATGTTTAAAGGAGAACTTTACATTTTTTTTTCCTGGAAGATTTCTTGTGTGGATAAACATTTTCACTTTGCTAAGGAACCCATGAGCCTTTCAGAGAGAAAAGGAAAGTGGTTTTCCTCTTGTAAATGCAACCCATTCAGACCTCCAGTGTTATTGGAACAATTTCATTATTTACTATTTTGAAGAGACTTCTTCGAACACCTCAAAGAATAAAATTTTAATATCTTTCAAATGCAAAAAGTTGACTGCAGTGAATTCTTTCCTGTCAGAACACACAAAAGAAAAACACAAATACAGGGCTCTAAAAGACAAGGTGGAAGACTGATTTGGGCTGAGGTAGGATGGTTTACTTATTGGCCAAAGAGCTAGAATTAAAGATGGGAAGTCTTGGGTTGGAATCCCTTTTCAGAAGTTTACTAGTTTATTGATCTTTTGCAATCCACTTGACTACTTTCAACCTAAATTTCCTCATCTGTAAAATTGGGATTATAATAGCAATCACCTCACAGAATTTTGGGGGGTTTATTTCATTTTTAATTTATGAAGTAAGCCAATCATTTCCATAACATATTAGAATTTAAAAAAAGATGATTGCACATGAAAACACAAATCTATTATGGACAACTTGCTATTCCCATTAAATATGTAATAAAGTTATCATGGAAATCTCTTTTTTACTTTATTTTCTTCTCTACCTCCCCACCCTAAAGACATTAGACATAAACATATACACATATGTGTGTATAGGTGTATGTGTGTGTATATATGTGTGTGTGTGTGTGTGTATATATATATATATGTATATATATGTGTGTGTGTGTGTGTGTATGTGTATGTATGTCTATATATATCTATATATCTATATCTATAAAATCATTTTATACACGCTTCTATATGTCAGTTCTTTTTCTGGGTGCAGATATAAATTTCAGGAATGCCTGTCGGTTGCAGAATGGCTGAACAAGTTGTAGTATATGACCAAGATGGAATACTGCTGTGCTGTAAGAAATGAGTTCCTTGATTTTAGAAAAAAACATGGATAGACTTGCACAGAATGATGAAGCTCTAAATGAGCAGAACCAAGAGAACATTGCATACAATACAGCTGTATTGTTTTAAGAACAACTTTGATCGACTAAGTCATTTTCACTATTATAAATACCCAAATTAACTACAAAGGATCTATGAAGGAAGGTACTATCTGCAGGATTATCGTCGAGGATCCATTGAGGTCATGTACACAGAGTTGTTTGCAAACCTTACAGTGATATATATGAATGTCAACTCTTATTATTATCCACTAAACCCAGAGTATAAATATGTCCCTGGTGTTTGGGTACGACCACAATGTGATTGTCTTACTAGAGAGGTGAAGGAGAAAAGAGAGGATGGTGTCTGTAGCCATTTTTTTTTCTTTAATGCTTTAGAAATCATTTTTCCTTTCATAGTGTATCTTGACAATTGCATTTGGTTCAGGGAGCTGCATTTTAGGAAAGACAAGCTGCAAAGTATCCAGAGAAAGGTATCCAAAATGATGAAAAGCCTCAAGTTTATACCACATGAAGAGAGTTTGAAGAGATTGGGGACGTTTCCAAAGGGTTAGAAGACATATGGAATGGGGGGCCATGAACACTGTCTTTGGTTCTATGGAGAGCTGTCCTCTAGAAAAGGAATCAGATTTGTTCCATCTGGCCTGAAGAGCAAGAGCTAGAAACAATGAGCACATGAAATGCAATTGTCCTCAGATCACAGGATTTAGGGCTTTTGCTGTTGGCTGCCTGATCCAGTGCTTTTGTTCCCTTGTACACCTGAGTGCCAGGCAGGTGAAGCCATTTCTTCCGTTTTTGAATTATTTTTAATGCACCCCAATGCTTGCCTTGCCCTTTCTAGGGCTGGGAGCATTTTTTCTGCGTGGGTTATTTTAAGATGGCATAGGACGCATTGCTTGGGTAGCTGGGCTGGGCAGCCTCTCCCACAGGCCTCTATTCTCTCTCTGGGGGCCTTTTTTATTCTTCCAAATCAATTTGAAACTCAGTGAAGTTTTTGCAAAGATAACAGGTGATATATGTGTCTGCCCGTTTCCCCTGGTGGTTCCTGTGTAGGTCCACTTCCTTAGCCAGCAGATTGGAAGGTAGGTCCTGGAGATTGAGTTAGCAGCTGCTCATAAATCCTATGCCTGGTTCCCATAGTCCATGGGCATGTGACAGGGATGTGCCGTCTTGCTGGTTCACCTATCTTGTTTGCCAGGGGCCACCTTATGCTCCCATTCCTCAGCAGACTCTAGTCTAAGGGCTTTTGGTTGCCCTTTCACAAGTGTACCATCAAATATTCTCCCTTTCTCCGTGGTTAGGGGCCTATTAATGTTGACTGGGTTCATGTGTGAGAGTGTTACAAGTGAGATCTCTGGTGTGGTTTTCATTTTCAGATTATTTTTGTTTTGAAGAATCTTTGCAATAAAACTCATACATGGAAAAAAAGAACAAAAAGGCAATTTAGGCTTATTACAGGAAAAGCTTCTTAACAATTAGAGCTATCACACAGTGGAATGGGTCAGCCTGAGAGATGGTGGGTTCTCCCATATCAGAGGTCTTCAGGCAAAGGCTAGATAACTACTTTGATGTGAGTGTTGTAAAAGGAATAATTCCTTTAGATAGTTCCCATAGCTAGGA